AAGGCAATGACAAAATAACAATACTCGAAAAAGCGACGCATTAATTGACTGATTTCTAAATTGCCATCAACTTATTTTGTAGTTAGAAATATCACTATCAATCGTAGTGAGATTTGAGGTACTTTCCGTATGCTGAAATAATGGTGCATTAAATTTGCATGATGCAAATGTCTCAAATAATTTGCGGTGATGTAGCATATCGTCCTGTTCAAACAAAAAAAAATAATTTATTTTTACTTTTCTGCGTCATTTGAGCTCAGCAGCCGCCCTTTACATTGTGGAAAATTTTCATGATGAATGGACCAACAGAAATACTCCAAAATCACTTAGAATAAGATCGTACATTAAATTACATTGGAGGTAAATAATATTTTGCCTTCTCCTGTAAATTTACCATTTGGTGATGCTTGTTTTTCTTTGGACATGTTCATGTCAAGCGTTCGACACACTTGAATCGTAATTTAAAACACGATTAAAGCAGTGAGGTCAACCAGGATCCCGTTACCTTCTCTGCTGTATTTATCTCTGCTGTATGTATTTTAACATTTCAGTGTAATTCATTTCAGAAAAGCTCGCCTTTTCTGCAATTTCCTACACCTGAAATCCTCCTCAAAAATTTTGTCATAACTACTACAGTTTGAATGTTTGTTTAAAATGATTACGCAGTCTTAACACTGCAGCACGCACAGCGTTAGAAAGCAAAGCGTGTAACACTGCTTTAACTTCACATCCGCAATAAAGCTGCACTCGTACTGAGTGTGAAACAACCTTCCCACACAACAACAGCATGAATGTTGTGAAGGCCTTTACTGAGGCTGAAAAGAGGAGCAGCGTGTCTGAATACATTTATTCTAACAGACAATAAAATCTTTTCCATCTGAAATTTCCTAAACATTTAATCTGCATTCAATATCATATCATATTTGAAATAATGTTCAAAACAATAATAAAGAAAAAAAAACATTAGAATGTCTGTCTTTTTTCTTTATACTGCGTCAGGGGAAAGTTATGAAAACTTTCAGCCATTTAAGAGTGTGTATTCCACGAGGAAAATGGCACACTGAAAGAACACATTGACGAGTGAATGTTTTGAAAGGCGAACTTCTCAAACTGTGATCTTGATGTGTATATGGGCCTATTCAAATATATCTGCCTAAAATTGTTTTTATTATTATTTTTTTTTTATTACTACGAGTTTTGCCACCTATCACAATATAGGATACAGTCTTATAGGATACATGTCACAAAATGACCTATGACAGTTGCGCCACGTAGAAAAAGAAAAGTAATGCTTAAAATAATAATAATAGTGTAGACCTAGACTATTTGTATTTTTCATAGGCCTGATATCTTGGCAACACTTTGCACTCAAAAATGAACCAACAGAGTTGTTTGGCTTAAAAGTTGGAAATATGTCGACATCAATAAGTGAATTGTGTTGTCTTCAAGTAAATGATTTACATAAAACTTTTTATAGTGATCCAAATTCCATTCCAGTGAAACCCAAATAAATTGCACTGAAATGTTTTAATATTTCCATCAACAATTGACCTTTATGTTCAGAGTAGCAAAATCTGTGCACACAGATTTGATTGCATGGAAATGTGTGGCATAACTGAATTGAGTCCATCCAACAATTTATTTTTCAGTGCAGAATTGAGCTGAAATGAGTATTTCTAGCTGTCAAAATGCAAAAATTAAAGGTAGAGTTTGGGTTGAGGCAATAATTAATATCAGCGTACAGCACAGACGAAACACAACAACTTAAAACTTTAATTCTTTTTTTAAATGATTACCCTTAATTATATAATTATGCATTTACTGATACAACCAACTTTGCACGTAGCCTATTAATTAGACTCACTGATGTGGCTCGTGATGTCGACAGAAACATTTACTATATGATGGATATATGACTATTTTTATTCCTTGATTTTCGGTTCTGCTGCAGTTACACCTTGTGGCCTCCACGGTGGCGCTCTTAGCCCGCACAAAAGCTCTGAAACCCAACAACTTGACCATATGACGCGTTCCTCCGTCTGGCGCGTCAATGCCACTTTCAAGCGCCTATTGGTCTCACAGTCACGTGATAGAGGCTCCTTCTCCCTCTATTTGTCATGCTCAACGCTGTGTGCTAGCGACAAGGAAACGCCCATACTTGACTCAAAAAACAGATCGCCCGTAAAATGGATTGTCCAGTCGGCATGACAACACGAAGAGGGTCTTTTGTTCACAGGAGTGAGGCCTGCTCCGGCACTTCCTGTTTGTATAAATGTATGTATAAATTAGTGAATTAGAAGGACTGAAATTGGCTACTTATGAATTTCCTCTGGCTACAAACTACTAACTGTCATCTCTATTCATAGGTTTTATCACCAATGTACCCTTCAAGGGAAGACAGAGTCTTTTGCTTCTTAATACTTTTTATAAGCTTTATAAGCTACATATATTTTATACATTTTTTAATATTTATAAACTACAATTTAATCTTCCATGTCCTGAGCCATAAACAGCACATCTTTGTATCTACTACCAGATATACGTGTAAGGATATGTTGAAACCGTACATTTACACTGTACAATCACCCATATAAGCATACTTAAACGATCTCCTGATGCAGAAATTCGTCTTGATAGTGAAAATGCTGTATGCAGTACAAACAACCACCGTTCATCGACACTTGCGAACAAATATGTGACACGTCCTGAAAGAATGCTAGTTTTGTAAACATTAAAATCACTTATCTCTTTTCAAAAAGACGATTCTTCATGGATACTTTAGTAAAGACAACACCCCAAAACCATGTGCATGCTTAAATGGTTCTTTCCATTGTTAATTGGTTCTTCAGATTGATAGAGAGTGTGTTGTATGTGGTTTTAGCGTCAAAATGGGTTCTTCTCCTCTTGCGATGTCAGGCTTGTAACAACAGGAGAACCCTTTTGGTGCTATATAGAACCCGTTTCAAAAAGGTCCCGTACAGAACCATATACAACACATTCTCTATCAATCTGAAGAACGACTGCACCATGCAAAGAGATATTTAAGCATGAGAATGTTCATGTATTCATGGCTCTATACAGAACCATTGTCTTTACTAAAGAACCCTTGAATAGTCATTATATTTAAGAGTGAATCTTATATATAGAACTAAATTCAATTTCAGCCTCTTTAGCGCCAGGCTTAAGCAATTAGATCTATATAATACCTGATGTAATGCAATGTTTACATTTCTCCACCGTACTGTACGCCTGCTTTGGATTTAGTCAAGCACATGCTTGCTTACAGAGGTCACCTACCAATGGTGAATGTCTGCGGACTCCCAGGACAGAAATGCGGCTACGGTCTTGCAGCTGCAGAAGCGGCAGATCCTCATGCAGCTGCTGTCTAACTGATAGTGCGGAATTACTTAATGATGGTACAAATGTATCCCAGATGGAATTGATTTCTATTTAAAGAGATACAGATTCCAGCTAGGAAGGGAATGTGTTGTAGGCCTATTCCAAAACCATGATATTTGTTGTTTTTTGTCCGCAAGAAACACTTAAATACATTATTAACGTTTGTAAAAAAAATATTTCTTGTAACGCTGGAACATTTAAGCAATGATAATATTAGCAATATTTATTTTTCTTCAGCACAGTGTGGCCTAGCCTGCAGGGAACATTATGTAAGTGCAACGACTTCACTGAGCTTAAATTGCCTAAACCACATTTTTGAAATCTCGGTTTTATTTATTTATTTATTTATTTATTTATTTTTGGCGAATAGAATTGCTCTTGTAATCAATTAAAACGTCAGTGCTGTGTATGATGTGGATGTTGCTAAAACTGTTGCACTAGAAACAACGATGATATAAACTCCATATTTAATTGCAATGTTAAAATTTTGATTTGTGATAAAATTGTGTTTTTTTTTGTAGCACAACAAAATGTTTTGTTATTGATTAAAATGATCTAACCCCTATTACAGAGTAGGTCTATGGCAATTATTTATCTTTCAGTTTGAACAAAATAAGTTATTATTTATTTTATATATTTTATGTCATTATTGTATTGTATATGTTATTATAATTAATTTCTGGAACGCACTAAATACATACTGCGACGCTCTACTCCAGAAACTCTACTATTGAATTATATATACATTACTGTACTTTCAGTCTTCAGTCAGATTAATGTGATTGTAACCAACATAACGTTTTGTGAACTTATTTTTAGTGCTTTAGAACAGGTTCAGCCCCTGAGAGTCCATATACAACATATACAACCAGCCATGAATTAAGAGCCGTACATTAGAATCTAAAGGCTTGAGATGAAGAAAGAAACATATACTCGAACAGTTAGCGCCGCCATTAGCTGGAAAAGAGCGTTGCACTTTCGTACGAAAAGATCAAAACGGGGTCCGGTACCGGCACAGCTGAAGAAATCTCGCCAACCAGTCATCTGCAAGATCTAAAACAACTCATCTGAGCAACAATCGTGGGCTACATTTCCAGACCCCCTTAAACACACTTGCTCACAGACCCCAACACTGTCAATAAACAAACAGATAAATGGGAAAAAACGCGCATTTTTTGTGCCTGTATTTACTTACACCAGTGCTTTTAAAATAGTTCATTATAGGCTTGCATTTTAAAATAACTTACCTATAATCTTTTCTGTGCTTATTTACAGCACAGTACGTTAAACGGTTGTATATGTGCACCATAATAAAGGGAGCACTAAAGCGCAGTCGCACAAATTCTGAAAGAGAAGTAGAAGCCAAATTAGAAAGTAAAGAAAAAGGCCTTTTATATGTCTCTTTATAAAACTATCTTACGTCAGGTAAGAAGAGACTGTGGAATGAGAAAAAGAGAGAGAGACCAAGAGAAAGAGAATGAGAGAGAGAGAATCCTTCCAGAGTAAGTGGAGAACTAGCCATAACGTTGATTTAAATATTAGCCAGATGACCATAATAAGTCAAGGTCATAAAATATCAGTGTCACTGTGTTAGAGCTGGAGCGCTGGAGCCGGATTTTATGATCTGCAAATTACAATGTGCTGCGCCGCAGTAAAGTGTTTTAAAGGTGAAGAGGAGGATGGGCTTATGCGCCGAGCGAAATGCGGCGATGGTGCTGCCTCCAGACGGACACGGAAAGGACCCACTTCCCTCACAGTGCTGCGCGTGTGGAGCTCGCTTTGGAATAGTGGAACAAAAACCGTACGAGACGCGGAGTGGAAGGGAACGGATATGTTGAAATGCGCGCGCTACCGTCGGAGGAATACGGGAGAACGGAGCTAGACGCGGTGAAGGTAGGAGCAGGCATTGGGCACTAATTTTCTCTCGCTTCGGATGGCAGCAGGCTTGGCAGTGAGTTTGCACGGTGGTACAGTGATTTATTATAGGCTGTTTATTATACAAATTGATGAATAGTACTTTTTCTGGAGAGTCCCTATGATCCAAACATCGCTATGTTATTTCCTTTGTAATTATGCACTTTTGAACTTTGGACTATAACAAGCTTTGGTTAGTGTTTTTTTTATATATCTGGGCATGTCTGTAGTGGAATAAGCATTTCTGGGCGCGCAACAAAGACAGTCATTGGATTATATTCAGCGCACTATTGTTCGATTTTACAGTGTATGTGTTTGGAATGGTGAGAAGCTGTTGTTGTATGGGCAGTGTCCAGCCTTTTGGCCACATATGAAACGATCTCCAGCTATACCTGGAGTCCTATTTTTGTCGACGGTGATTTTGGGTGGACTTTGTTTTTTTTTTTTTTTCAGAACTCATGCACTGGATAGCCTCTCACGTTCAGCTGATGCGTGGTTTAGGTAGTTTCATGTTGTTGGGATTGACTTCCTGCCTCGGCAACAAGAAACTGCCTTGATTACGTCAGTTCGCCTTCATCAAGGGCGTCCATTTCCGCCAAATTATCCCCCAGTCTCCGCAAATGGCATTGTAAATGAACCACCGTCGCCTCTGTTAACTGCAGAGCCCCCACCTGTTCCCTTCCCATCTCCGCTGGTTTTATGCGTCACTAAAAGTTTTCTATAGTCTTCGGTGGGTGAATTGCGGCTGTAAACCCGCACGGGGGCTGGAAAGCACAGTCTTGCTCTCAGCTTGATATTTGAGGAACACAGGCCTTGGGAGAGCTTATGGAGAAAGGATTGATAGGGGACTATTTAGGATGACTGCAGCACCGCAACAAGGCCTAGTCTGCAGGTGCGGAAAATTTGGGCATCAACTATTCTTTATTTTCCTGAAATGTTATACAAGCTTTGGTCGGTTTGATTGTTCTATGTCTTGTGTTTGAGCACACTACAATGATCGCCATTATGTGTTCAGAAAGACAATGTTTTGATGAAAAAATACATCGTTGTAATAACCATTCAGTGAAACCTTTCAGCATTTAGCGACTCGTTTTGAATCGTTATAAAATGCGACTGCCGCAAATTAATTTTGATACGTTTTTGCTTGTAAAGCTCCCTTGATTCTATTTTTTCTTTAAAGCGTATGTTACAATTACCTTCACAAAGAGAATTGATCGTGTCTGTGATTAACTAGTCCTTTATCACTGATCATGAATGCTGATTTATACTGAATGAATTCTGATTCATATTTAAATATTTTTATTATTTAAGGACACTTTGGCTGATCATCACCTGAAACTAAAGTTTTCCAGTAAAAAGAATACACGACCAAATCGAATTATTCATGTACACTTTCATTTGCAAGCCGCCAATAAAATATATATTTTTAAATTTTGTACGTGAAATATTCATAGTTCTGCCTCAACATAACGGCTCTTAAGTGCATTTAATGTTAGAGAATTACTGGAAAAACATTTGTTTGTATTCATTGTTTTACAATCCTGCCTTGCTGGATATTTCTGACCGCAGCCTAATTTTTACTGAACTTATTGCAAAAAAATAAAGGATTTTCCCTGTTGGCCAATTTTGAAAAACTGGAATAATCCTTCAACACATTCCAGCGTTTCAGGTTTGCTCTCCACATTTCCAAATAGACTTACTAATTATGCTCCACCGAAGCAATTCCCACGTCTAATTCAACACATTATACAACCTTGCGGCAGAATTCCGGTCAAACGAACTGCTTTGGAACAAAAAACGAGACTCTTTCAACATGTTTCTCAATGTGTGATATTTGTCAAACTCCACGTACAATAAACAACATCCTAAAGCCTGCGATTATGAGCATTCCTAGCATGTTCTTCTGCGGACATTATGATGAGCAAACCGTTTAAAATCGTTTGGAGTCTTTAAAAGAAGAAAAATAGAGATTTGTAAAGATATAATACCTTGCAACTGAAACTGTTCAGTTTATTTTCTTTTATCTCTTCTGCACAGCATTCGCTCTGCATCTCAGGCCCAAGACACGCCCTTTTTATGGTGAAAATAAAACCCCAAAACCTCTAAAAGTAGAAGGACAAATATTGCGTCTGTATGCTGTACGTTACTGCCTGTACAGATGCGTTTGTTTTCTTCGTTTTCTTTTTGGCTTCCAGACAGGTAGCATGCGCCTATGTCAACAGCTAACAGGGAAGCTCTGTGTTGTCTAAATATGACGCTGAATGTTGACTGAAATCACTGTATCCCTAAGAAGAAGTATATTTTGTCAGTCACAATTCTTGTAGTACAGTATGACCATTCGAACACGACGTATATAAAATACTGGACCAAAAAAAACTGTCTGTCGCAGTGGTACTTACGTCATAGTCTAGACCACTTTTCAGCCAAATGCAACTTCAAAGCTGATCTTCTGCACTTCTGCAAAATCAGCTTTTTTGGCAGTAAAAATTCTCGTAATAGGTCAGGGATGTTCCGAGTCAGAGATGAGGATCAATGACTCATATTTAAGTCTTCATTTATCAAGTGATAATGTGTTTTCTCTTCTGGTTAGCGGGGTAAGAAATCATGCGTGCATTCCGCTCAAAATTCACTTTTCTCGGATGTAAAACATGGTTCACATCAGCTCCGGAAGGAAGACATAAAATCGCTGCTTTGAGATTTCACCTCTGATGTGCTTCGAAACTGAGGCTTCATGTGCTTCATTTTGTTTGAAGATCTTCGATTTTTTTTTTAAATATCTTCAAAAAATTTTCATTTTCATTCACATCTTCGTTTCTCTTAATGCACAGGTACTGATGTCTGATGTGACTTTTAAAGCAAAATTATTGCAACCTGACTTTAATGAAAAGATAGATAGATAGAGAGAGAGAGAGAGAGAGAGACAGATAGACAATGTCACACTAGCGCAGTTAATGCTGTCTTTATTTAAAATACACATGAAACAAAATCCATTCCATCAGGCAATAGTTCCACGCAGTGATCCATTCTATCATTGATAGTTCATATGGATCTTTATCTTGTGCACTGAAAATTAATATAATTTATCTACTGCTACATCATATTTTCACATATATTTTACATTAGCATTGAAGCATGCGGCTGTCATAGACTATCGCACTTAGGCATATTGATTGATACTGATATTGATCCTTCATTTTTACTTTGATTGAGGAGCGATGTTATCAATACATGGACTAATAGCATGAGTAGAGTTTCTTGTGTGGGAGTTTTATTGATCATATCTAGCGGTGCTCCGGCTGAAAATCAGATATTGTTCAAAGAACTTCTAAATCTGTGCTTGCATTAATAATGGATAAAAATATGATGAAACACAATGGCCTACGACTGCACTGTGTTGCTTTACACCACCTTTGGAAAAAGATCAGAGAAGACCATTGGCAATACTAAGTGAAGTTCAAATAATGAGCGCAATTTTGTGATAAAGCCCAACACTGATTTGCTGATCGGTGTCGTATAGCAGAAAACAAACAAAAAGGTTTAACACATATAGACACTAAAAACATAGACAAATGTTTAGTCTATAAATAGTAGCAGTTTAAAAACATAGAACGAGACTCTTTCAACGCGTAAATGAAACATATATACTAAAAACCTAGAAAAAACGTTTACTTTATACATTAGTTATATTAACAGTGTTGGAAAAAGTAAATTACCTGACATATTTGTAGCTGAACACAGGACACCGTTGACCAAAAGTACTGATACAGGGCCAGCACCCCTAATTACAGTCGTATACAATTTTGTTTTGTTGAAACATAGAACATGAAATGTGTTACAACTTCTGCGCAGCCCACATTTTATGTTTTACTTTTTTCCCATAGTTTTATTCCAGCACATCAACTGCATTCCTGTATTAAAATGTGTAGAATGTGTGTACCTATTCAACAAAACATGTAATTTTGTACACAGCTTCATATTAAACGCAAGATTTAGACTTGAGCTGAGGGCTTTATCTTGCCCTGCAAAAAATATGTAACTTGGCTGCTTTAACAATTAAGTTCACTGAACTTCTGATAGCAAGTTCAAAGAATGGTAATTCGTGTTTGTCGGATTTAAATTCAGTAAAATCTCAATTTCAAGACAATCAGCCTAACTAAGCTTTTAAATTAGAACGTCGAATCTTTTTTTAATAATGTGGGATGCGAACAGCCAAATAAAAATAGGTCTGCAGTAGGCATTTACTCATAAAATTGTTAAGCCACAATATGCCTAAAACAGCACAATTCGAACACAGTGACAACTTACATCTTATTTATTTATTTATTTATTTATTGTGGTAGTCTGACAGTATTTAAACCCAATATCACTAAGAAAAAGGTGCAACATCAAGCATAAAAACATCACTGTTCAGTGTTGATGGTAGGTCTAAGGTGATATCAGCTGATTAAATGTAAAACATAACGTCGTTATGAATGTGTAGTGTCTAATTATTTTCGTTACAGTTCTTATTACATTAGCGCAAGCCTGTATGTTTACATATTTTCGAAGCAGAAGTATCTTTAATACGGGATTGATAGTCATTGTGATCAAAAAGCAGTTGATAACATAGATGATGGGCTTGTTTTGTTCATTTCTAGGCCACATAGAAACTTGTTATGGCGAATGGTGGCGTCGAAACCTCTAATTACAACTTAAAATGTGCTTATAATGTTCTCTTCGCCAGTCCTCACATGAATCATCACTTTCCTTCGAGTCAATCAACAACAGTAGTCGGTTGTATAAAACTGCACTTGTGTGATTTGTAAACCGACAAAGAGGGTAACTGAGCAAAAAAAATCTCTAAATAACAGCCTATACATGATAAGACTAGTGGAGGCAATTTCATTTACAATTTACGTAAATTTTAGATTTTGGAAAACATTTTTGTTAAAACTGTAAAGTATAACATTCTTACTGCGTCAATCTAACAACAGAAAAAATGATATATTTTGTGCACTAGATGTAAACTTTGATCTTGAAAGCTAAGAGCAAATCTTTACTGTCATGATTGAACACAAAGAGTCTTTGGGAAATGATGACTGAACGTATTGAACCATTTGTGTAAGAACACTGGGCCTCATTCACCAACAGTTCTTCAGATGAAATTTCTTCTTAAAACCCACTTATGCAGTTTTTCTGAAGATTCTTACATTTACTAATGTTTTCTGATTTTTTTCTGATTTTGAATATTGGTGAAATAATGGTGAATATTTGAAGAGGTGGTAAATGAGGTCTATCGTTCTCATGAACACATTGGATTTTAGGACAATAAGAGCAAGTGCAGCTCTTACACCTTACAGCTTAGATGAAGAACAGCTTTGATATCACCCGTGCAAAGACCACAGAAGTGCAACCGGTAGACACTGGCTAATTGTCATAAAGATTTTACTGTAATTTATTTTATTGAAAAAAATCGGCGATATAGACTGAAAGCACGGCGGTATCTCGCGTGCGGCGGTTTCCTCCCGCCTAACAGTGTTTGGGTGACAATGACTGTTAATCAGGCAGTCGGCTACCGCAGTGCGGAGCTGGCTCTGTTTCCAGACGCTCCTCACGTACATCACAGTGGAAGTTCATTTTCACACCGCTACCTAATAATTCTCTAAATGAATTCTCTCCGCTGCGCAATTGGAGTGAATAAAATATGCAATATGTTAATATTAAACCTGCAGATATTTTCTGGTGAGATTACTTTTCCTATCTTGTTCATTTGAGAGTGGAATCACAGTAAGCAACCAGGGCCGAGTTTCCCAAAAGCATCAGTCTTGTCGATGATTATCTGAATCATAATTGGGAAAAAATACCGATGGCATATACACCTTGTTTGTTTGTTTGTTTGTTTGTTTGTTGAACGCTGGTTCCCCCTTAGCAGGTTATGAGCTGATAATTTCAACGTTTGTTTCATGCTAATAAACGTAAAACATTAACCCCTTAAATGGCAATGGCTAATCCAAAGTTTTATTTCACACTTCTATGAACTAAGAATAGCTCAATCAGTTTGCATTAAATTCCCTGTAGTTACTGAATAATAGGCCTTAGTATGTAATAAGCCTGAGATTGTGAGCGCTTAAACCTACATGATTCTCCTAACAAGCTAACAAGATATTCTAGGAAATCTGGAGGAATGACGTGGCGCGTTCTGCTGTCCTCTGATGCATGCATTTGTGTATCCTGTGTGGTGATTTTGTCGTGCTGGTTGTGATTTTAACGACATGTTTAAGAACAATCAAACGAGAGCTCTCGTAAAACTTTATTGAGAGGCATAGCGTCATGAATGACCTCCGTGCACGCTTTTCAATGGGGTATGCTACTTTCCTCAGCCTTTGAAGTACTGTTTTAAGCTTTCTTTGCCAGGTATCTGCCACACGAGCTTCAAATAGTGTGGTTCATACCATGCATTTTATTCATGGCGAGATTCATTATCCTGCCATTGAATTCGTGGTATGATTCAATCAGTTCAGTTCATCTATTTACTTCATTACACGCGTTTGGATTCTTCGGTTGACATTTTAATAACAAATTAAGCCAAAAATGTCAGCAGAGGCAGATGACGCCAAGAAATAGCGCCTGAGTAAAACGGCCAACGTACCTTCTGCTTTAGCAAAGGCTCGAGCGACTCTCTGTTGATCAAAACAAACAGAATGGCGACAGAGCTGGTCATTTGATCGGTCAGTAATTGGAATTCAAGCGCATATCAGCAGATCACAACGTGAGGACCGTTATTATCCAAAGCGAATTGGCGCATTAATCGACGCTGTAATTTTTTGGAGTAAATACAATCACGTGTCCACCGCCAGCCAATGGCAGCCAGGAGCCCCCGGGAGAAATAATTACCTGCCTTGATTGTACTATGAGAACATCAAAAGTACACATCTGCACTCCATAAAAATCTGATACATTTTAAGGAGACCAGAGACGTCGCCATGTCGGCCACGGGTCCTATAAGCAATTATTACGTGGATTCTTTGATAAATCACGAAACCGAGGACGTACTGGCGGCGCGGTTTTCAGCGCCGGAGATGCTTCACCCCGGCTCGCGTCCGTCGCCCCTCGTTGCAGAGTGCTCAGATTTTCCTTCGTGCAGCTTTGCACCAAAAACCACCGTCTTCACCTCGTCCTGGGGACCCGTGCATTCCCAGTCATCAGTGGTATACCATCCCTACGCCCACCAGCCACATTTAGGCGCAGAACCGAGGTACGTGCGCTCGTGGATTGAGCCAATCTCAGGGGCTGTGTCTTTCCCAGGCTACCCGAGCAACAGCAGACACTATGGACTCAAGTCTGATGGTCTCCCAGAGCTCAGAGCCGGCGAATGCATTGCCGCTAACGGACGCGCCTACTCGGACTATTGTTATAGCCCGTCTGAGGATCCAAGAGAAAAGACTCTACAGTCTATCAACTCTTCTCTGGACTCGGATGCGCTGTTCTCCGACAAGCTTAAGGAGGATAAACCCGAGTTAGATCCAAGTAAGTTAGCCCCCAGTTTACTTCTGTTGTGGTGGCAATAACCGCTTTTCTAGAAACTGTTTGAAAAATCTCACTCGGCTCTGTCTCCTTTGAACGAGAACGTTTCTTCCTGTCTGAGACCATTTTGGAGCAAACGCCAATGGCTTTAAGGTTGTAAAAAGACAGGAGCCATAAAGCGGCTATAAAATGAACAATCTCGGGAAACAGTCCTGAGGTTCAGCAGTGGATCCGAGAAAGTGAGAGTTCACATTTGGTGAATTTGTTCAAATTCCACATCTAATGTTTAAATGTGTGCAAGCGATTAATTAAAATGTGTTATGTTTAAGCATTAGCTCTGAATTAAAATAAATAAATAAAATAATAAAAAAACAGAAATAACTACCAGTTTAATTGTTGTGTTAATATGTATTAGTAAACAACAGACTTATGCAAACCTAACATTCAGCAATCAATCAAAGCAGTTACATTAAAGTATAGATTGCGACAAAGAGCTTAATGTTTAAATTAAGTGTTACATTAGAAAAGTAGAAAGTAGCAAGGCTTGACCAAGACTGGTGGACACACGAAACTGAAGGCTTTTAAAGTGCTTTTATGAGCCAATAAAACCAATGGACATAGTCACTTTTTATGACAAGGTCTTTTTAAGCAGTGGAAATAGGCCTACTGCTGCTAATGAAACATTCGCCCACGATTCCTTTTGATTGTAAATACGTAAACGCAAAAATGTGTACTGCACAGCCAGCAGGACTGTAATGAAGGAACTGGCACTCAAGCTTACGTAGGGATATGCACACTGTAAAAAAAAATAAATAAATACATAAATTTGGCGTAAAAAGTGGTAAAAACGGGTTTTTATTCAGTGTAAATACTTTGAATGAAACAATGCAGAATGCATTGCAGAACAAATAGGTTAAATGAGGAATTGCTGCATTTTACCTAAGTTTACAACCGCAAAACAAATTCGTATCAATTTGTTCCACATTTTACATCTACAGAGGGACGAAATAAGAAAAAGGAAAAAAATAAATAATAATTGTAACTCAGATTCCATTCTTTTTATTTTTTTTACAGATAACCCAGTGGCCAATTGGATACATGCGCGGTCAACGAGAAAGAAACGCTGCCCCTACACTAAATACCAAACTCTAGAACTGGAAAAAGAGTTTTTATTCAACATGTACCTTACAAGGGACCGCCGGTACGAAGTGGCGCGCGTCCTAAATCTGACAGAGCGACAGGTCAAAATTTGGTTTCAAAATCGACGCATGAAAATGAAGAAAATGAATAAAGAGAAGGGTGAAAGCAACGAGTAGTGAACGCGCTGTAGCCACGGATCTGGAGGCGCTTCATCAGCAACTGGACATGAAGGCCATCTGAACCTCTTTTTGGTGGAAGCGTGCTGCTTAGGCCTAGACACCCACCATCCACCCTAACACTTCGGCGCGGACACTAACTCTATAATCTCGTGGTATAGTGAGCTTGGAGTCTGTACATAGCCTGTTGCTCTTTTTTTTCATATTGTACAGTTGAAGAAGTGTAACCAGTGAGAATTTCTCTGTGGACGACCGACTAGCTAGAGTTACATGTAGCCTACACACGTCGCTATTTAAAGAACTGTATTTTTCTAGGTGTTGTATCTTTCATGCTATACATTGTCAATATTTTGTACGAGAAAAAAAAAAACTGAAAATCTCTAAAGAAACCTTAAATAATAGAACTGCTTTTGTCTCTTTGGTAATATATTTTTAAACTATACACTGAATGTTATTTTTGCCATTCAGGCTGGACATTTTCTTGGCTTAGCGGTTAGTATATAAGATATCCAGAATATAAGAAATGTGTAGTGCAATGTTAAAAAATAATTCAAAATTCAGATTCAGCAGAGTGCACAATGTACACCCTTTATTTGCTTGTCATGGCACCACAGATGGTGACCTATTGCGTGTTGACGTGAAAGGAATCGTGCCATTTCCGATAGCCTATAGAGATTAGACGCTGTAGAACGATCTTTATTAAAAGCAGCTGTGATTTTGTTTAACATCCCTTTCTTCCTGATCATGTCCAGGCTGGTTCTAGGCCCACTGAACAGGCTGCAAATTCTCTGTGCCTTCATTTTATATTGCATCATTATTGTTTAGGAATAGAATCGCTAAAAATCAGTTTTTGAATGTAGAGGAAAGAGGCGTTTTGTTCAACTTCTTTCAGCTGATAGGCCTTTTTATGGACTTGTGTTATTTTTAGTATGGATTTAGTTTTTCAGTAATGACCATACAAAACAAGGGATGCGGCTGGATTAGCGTTTATATATACGCACCAAACATAAGATCAAATTTTGACGCAAAAATGGGAAATATATTTATTAGACGTGAACAAAAATAAATTATTTAACACTAAATGCTGTAAGAGTATTTTATGGTGAGGACACCCACTAATTAAACCATCTCTGAGTAGCAATGTTGCACAGCGCAATATCTGGACAAATGTTACTTCTTTCTTCTTTTCGTTTGGGAGCAAAGCGTCAATTAGGCCTGGGGTTCCAGCGACAAACTCGTTCGCTTTTTTTTTTTTGAAGGTGCCACAAAACAATGCTGACAGGATGCAAAGGGCTTTTAGAGTGCAATCCTGGACATTTCCGTTGCGGGGATCAGAGCAATGCAGGTTTACAACCCCGAAAGTATTCGAACAAAGCGAGCCTGGAGAACTGGCTAGACGTCTGGGCTAAATTACTTTATTGTTTTTATTGGGGGCAACTCCTGCGCTGCTTACAAAAGGGGTTATTACACTTGTTTTTTGGTCTAGGGGTCCACTACAAACGCGTCTGTCCTTTCGTCTTATCACACCCACGCCACCGGTCAATGGAAAAGGGGGTTGCGAAGCCCTTGAAAGGCCTGAATCCCAATCCAGTCTGCCCAAAACACAGTCGCCCTCTAAGAGTCCATATTATTGTTTTTTATATACAACACATCTCAAAGCCATTTGAATAAATACAGTTTTAGGTCTCAATTAAAACAAAACAAAAATATTTTTCTTGCCAATCCGTTTCATCTGACATTTCATACATATGCTACTATAATTTACAAAACGTTTGTAAAGTAGATCGTACGAACTGTTTCGACGACAACAGCTTTCTTTTTATACCATATATGTGTTTTAGCCTGCTATTATTTGCTCATATTGGGCTAGAATACACTATATTCAATAATATGCTCTTTTCAGCATAATATATATATATATATATATATATATATATATATATATATATATATATATATACTAGTATATGCATTAGTAATAATATAGAACATCATTTATGTAGCAGCTTAATGTGCTTTACAGACAAGTAATACGTTTAATTAAAAGTGATAAATAAATTCAAGGTAGGTACAAATTAAAATAAAGTGAGACATTGGTATGGTGGGCTTTTGCTCCACTAACTTCTTAAAGGAAAAAAAAAAAACTTCTGGAAGTCAGCCAGAATTGCAACTGACTGTTAGACACGATCATTTGCATTTGCAAGCTGTCCAAATTGTTTGGAATTCACGGAGCAAATCACGCTGTTCTAGTGAATACGTGTTTCTCATCCTAAACACAGAAAGAGAAAAACTTAAAACCTAGAAGTAGTTAACATGTAGTGGAATATTTCCGTAGTTGACAATGAGGACATTATCTAAAAGTATGGTAAACATTTTACAATTACTGATGTTGCCTAATGTAAACATCTGGGTGACTTTTAATGATGAGCACGTTGAGAAATAACTTCCTTTACAAGATATGCAAACTTCAAGCCTTAGTAGTTGCTCACGTCAGCATAAAACAAGTTTTTTTACGAGACGTCTAAATGGCTCGTCAATAAAACCGTTTCAACATTGCCTTTCCTCCAAGAGAAATAGGACGTTGTTGTGAAAATGGGCTGGTAAATGAAATGAACGCTAGAGGTCGCTGACTTTCCACCGTTGGCGTGTTACTCGTCTCAAAAGACCAGACAGAGAAGCTGAAATGCTAGCTCACTAGCCAGAGGTCATTGTTGGTCCGGCTGTTAGCTGAACCCGAGCATACAAGAACAGAAATGGTGCGGTTTTTATGTTCTGGCTCTAAAGCTGTACCATAATGTAATGAAAAAAGACTGTTCAAATCTGAGGCTAAATGTAAATTGCACGTACAAGAAGATGAATGATCCAGATGCACTTCACATACATCTGTGAGCTTTGCTCAAGTGAAAACATAAGTAACAGAAAGGCTGAATCACTTGCTCTTTTTTTAACTTAATACTATTTCAATTATGCACAGATACTTGATACACTTATTACACTCTTTAAAAAGATGGTTGGTCAAGGGTTCTTTAGTAAAGACAATGGTTCTACATTGAACCATTATGTTATGACCCCCTTTTTACTGTCCACACACAGTTTACATCTACCAGGGCTCTAGTCTAGGGTAATGAGAGAGTAACATAAAACAAATAGACCAGCACACCAATTTAATGCTTGAGAGAATAGTTTGTGTTATTAATTAAGGCAAATAGTCACAGGGTTTTAGACTTCAGGATGAGCTGAAGCCAAAATAACAAACAAAAAACCTCTAAAGCCACCACCCATGACACTACCTTGACTCATCCAAAAGAAAAACTCCAATTTAATTTGATTTGTATGTTTAAACGGTTCTTTGCATTGTGAAATGTGTTGTACATGGTTCTATATAGCACCATTTTGAAATTTGTTCTGTATAGCACCAAAAAGGGTGCTATATAGAACCTTTTTTTAAAAAAAAAGTGTCTGTATAAAACCATATCACCATGCAAAGAACCACTCAAGCATTAAAGTTGTCTTTACTGAAGAACCCTTGATGAACTGTCTCTTTTGAGGGTGTACATAAATATACTGATGGGTTACACTTTCTCCTTCTGTCTTTCTGTCACTTAACTGACAACAACAATAACAACAAAAATGAGAAAAAGAACACACAAAGCTTCTATACAAAAAGAGAGTTTTTTATTTGCATTAATTCAGCAACTGATGAAAATACGTGCACGTTTGTATCAGTCAAACATATAAACTAATATGTAGTGTCTATGTGTAATGCAAATTATACAAGATACAAATAATAGCTTTTGACCTTATAGTTAGTCTGGCAATATGAATGTCCATATCACACATCATTTTTGAGTAATGTTATTTGTAGGCACATATCTACAACCTGATAACACATAAGCATTGAGCTACATGGTTTCTGACAAAACAATAAAGCAATGCTTAACTATTTATAGTATATAATGTTTAATGAAATACATAACATTGCATTTGCAAAAGAGACCTTAAACTAAAGCAATGGCATTTGTTCCATATAAAGCTTCATGACTAAGTACAGTTGTTATAACATTTATGTAGATATCTTGGTGAATAATCTTTAATAAGAAAAGACATACTTTTGCACTCAAACACTGTATGTAAACCTGATATTGCACTTTTATTTAGGCACCTGCTTTGTGAATTGGGAATGATGCTTCATGACAGTGTCATAATGGGAAAATGTCTTAAGTTTAAATTACATGTGACTTTGTGAAACTTAAGAGTGCATTACAATAACTAACAACCATAAACTGTTCTTAAATGCTTACGTATTGCTTCATAAATATGAGTTATCAATTGAAATTAAGGACATACTGAACAATGTATTATAATGTACTTAGTTCATTAGCATAAATAACACTCTCAGTGCGGCTATGCTCAATGCAGCAGTTTTATTAATTATAAACAATTACTCAACTAAATGCTGCTTGCATATGTTCTAAGATATCTTACTTTGCATGGATAAATTGAGTGCACTATCACACATCCACCAGCAGGGAGGCAGCACACCTAGCTGGGCCTCCTACAAAATCCACAAACATGGAGCAACGTGGAGAAATACTGCTTGTTGTAGGTATTTGGCTTAAAAATTAACAATTACAAAGACAATAAGTGCTCATGAAAATAGTGCTATCAACAGAGCATAAACAAAGTGGTGCTTTAAAATCTAAATGAAAGAATCATGACTTCAGTACAATTCTAGCCAAAAGTAAGCAAAATCAAGGACAGTAACTGTTCGAATGACATATTTTATTTATGTGGAACCAATAAACACATTTCAATCCAGTAAATTCAAAGATATAATGCATTTCACTAATCGTGTGGTTTAAATTTCAAATTGGGCAACAATGTTCATTAAAAAAGATAAGAACATTCTTTAAAAGTGGAAAAAAACTAATTTACTTTTATTATGATGTCAGATTTGCGTTTATTCATTGCATGTAGTTAACATGAAAACATTTTAACATACTTTCCAATTAAACAACAATTAACGATTAATAGCTCATGAATACATGATTTTCAGCATAATGACAGCAAAAAAACAAAAATGAGACAAGCAAACATTGATTAGTCACATTTTCTTTTGCCAGATAGAAATTTATGTTTAAATTTTTTGGAATTGCAGAAAGTTTTTTTGTGCAGTTGATCTGCAACCACATGTAATAGCGTTTGCATGCTGACTATCAATGAAAATAAGCTTTCATGACGATTCTTTACAAGGTTGTTTATTACTTTTTGTGTCTCATAAAATCCTACATTTCTCAAGAAATAGACCGAAAATATCACTATTACTTTTAATTTTAGCCTCAAACATTGAGGAGATAGTGTGCTACTAACTATGGGGTTAAATACTTTACCATCCAGTTTATAAGCACTGTAAGAACAGTCAATGCTAGTTTTTCACCTCAGATTTTATCTCTTTGTTGGCGTGTTATTTCGAATTTTAGTGTAGGAAAAGGCCTTGCGTGCTTGTTTTTTCGTCATCAGGCTGGACGTAGATTTATTAGTCGCTGATGTGCCTGAGCGTATTTTCAGCCATAAATCATAAATCGCAAACTGATGTTATGTCACATAAACAATAAGCCTAGCACCTCTCACCTCTAGCTGTATTGCAGCATTTAGTATGCTCATATGTATCAGGCCTCAACAACTGCAGGGACCCACAAAAGTGCTTATTAAATGATATGTATAACAACACAGCGTCACAGTAAATCTATTATTAAAGCTTCCATTGCGGTATTATGTGTTTACTGTAATTCCAAACAAACCACCACTTTATCAGTGAGGAAGCAATATAATACACACTCTTAAAAAAGACGGTACTTCAAATGTTCTTTAGTGAAGACAGTGGTTCTATATAGAACCACGAACGCTCAAAGAAAGATTTGGTTCTCTGCATGATGAAATGGTTCTTCGGACTGCTGGAGAATGTGTTAAATAAGGTTCTATCTAGCACTGTTTTATACAGCTGTTGTTACAATGTCAAGCTTGCATACAATAGAAAAACCCTATTTGCATCCAAATGGTTCTTTGAGTGTTCATAGTTTTAGTACAGAACCTTTGAAGAACCTTTTTTTAAGAGTGTATTTGGTGTATATGTGGAACTGTAACTGTTAAAAGGAACGGCAGAGGCTGATGACTCAAGGCTTGCTCTGCTCAAGGTAGACGTCTAAGAACGCAACGAGGAGGGGAGGGGGTTGAAGGTTGGCGAGGAAAAGGGGGGGCTGAGGGGCGCAGACACCGTTTGTGGCTGTCTGAAGAGCTAACCAGACCCAGCAACCATTCACGACATGAACTGGATTTAAGATTGCAAATAGGAGGCAAATCAGAACCGGAAGACAGGGGGAACTGCGGTACAAAGAAAGGAGCAGATGTTTTGGAGGCTGAGAGCTGAAGACTTCCTTGACTCACCTTTTTTTTTAAATAGGTTCACGGTTTTTGGTGGCACGTCTGGCGTTTTGGGGCAGAGCTGAGCTCGAAAGCAGCGAATGTCACCTTGTTGTTTAGCAGCACAAACACCACTGTCCTCGGAGGAAGCCCACAAGAGACATGAGCACCTATTTCGTAAACCCGTTGTACTCCAAGTATAAAGGAAGCGAGAGGCTGGAGCAGACCTACTACGACTGCAGGTTCCCCCAAAGCGTCACCCGGAGCCACGCGATAGTTTACGGGGCTGGATCAGCAGCGGCTCCGGCATTCCAGCACGCGCCCCATCACGCGCAGGACTTCTTCCAGTCGGGACTGTCGACCCCTGGTTATCAGCAGAGCCCCTGCGCCTTGGCGTGCCACGGCGATGCCACCACGTTTTATGGCTACGAAGCATTTCCGAGGCAAACGCTTTATGGGGCTCAGCAAGAGGCGAGCGTGGCGCAGTACCCAGACTGTAAATCTTCCGCTGGCACCAATCTAGGAGAACGACAAGGCCATTTGAATCAAAACCTGCCCGGTCTTATGTTCCCTTGGATGAGACCCCACGGTTAGATCATCTATCGCTTTACTTTATTATCCTTTTCTTTTGGTTTTGGTCAACACAATCTGCTCTACACAACACCAATAATACAGGCTGCATGCACTCAAAAAATAAACTGTTGTATGAACACTGAAATAAGCTGACTCAAACGTGTACATCGGTTCCACACAAATGAAATACATCAACTTACTCAAGTATTTATCCATAGTGTAACATTTTATTCATGCTGAGCCAATGTACACAGCTGATTCACGCAAGTTTAAAGCAACCTTTTGGTGAACTTAATTCAATTAAGCCACACATTTCCATTCAATCAGACTGAGAACACATATTTTGTTACCTTAGCATAAAGTTCAACTGTTGATTGAACAATATTAAAACATTTCGGTGTAATTTACTTGGGTTTCGCTGGAATAGAATTCTCTTTGGAGCACCGTTAACAGTTTTCATTCATTGAAATGTGCTTTCATTAAATTTTGTCTATGTTTTGACATAAACCAATTACTTAAAGAACAACACAATTTACTTATTTCATGTTGAAATATTTCCAATTTTTAAGTAGCACACTTCTGTCGGTTCATTTTCTGTTTATGCCAGCAGGGAAGCTTTGCATGTTTATTAGCGTAGAGGTTTTCTTCATTCAGATATGATGACAGTGAACAATTCATGTTCTCAGTTCTAGCACAACTAATCATATCACCAAAGAGATGACCTTAAAACCTCTTACCGTTATAGACTGTTCTGACAAGTGGTGTAGTGATATTTTGGTAGGGTTAGATTAGATTTGTCACTCTCTCTGTGAGTGTTTGATTACGTTTATAATAATATCTATGTCTATGTGAATCTTAACGCCCAGTAAAGTCCAGACATATCACTATAAATTTTGGCAATTTTTTTTAACTTAAAAGAGAGTAAACTTAGTTTACTTAGAATTTTGAGTCCGCTGAAGAATTTATAAGGATGTTGGATATTGGACGGTCAGTCAACTCAAAATTTAAGTCCCCCGGGTTTAACTACTTTTTTGGTTAAAACATTAATTTTTTAAGTGGAGATCCACGTTTATTGATTGACAGACACAAAAAAGCGTTGCTAAACGTTGAAACCTCTCCATCCTTCCATCCGTAGCTCCAGGAAGGCGTAGCGGCCGGCAGACATACAGCCGCTACCAAACCCTGGAGCTGGAGAAGGAGTTCCTCTTCAACCCTTACCTTACACGCAAGCGGCGCATCGAAGTGTCGCACTCGCTGAAGCTAACGGAGCGGCAGGTGAAGATCTGGTTCCAGAACCGACGCATGAAATGGAAGAAAGAGAACAACAAGGATAAATTTCCGGGTCAGAGGGGCGAGACAGAGACAGAGGCTGAGGGTGAGGGAGATGGAGAAGGAGAGGGAGAAGGAGAGGGCGAACCGGAGGGGGATGAGCAGCAGCAAAAAAAGGAAACGGCAGAAGAAGAAGAGCCGAAAGAGTGATTTTATGGCCGGTTTTTATGGTTATATGACTTCAAGTTGAGCCTCGTGTGTGTATGTGTGGAGAGGGGTAGAGAGAGAGAGAGAGCACTGTTTACGACCACGGTGGGAAAGAAGTAAAAAAATGTTAAACACACAATAAAAGCTCTTTCCTTCTCACTGATCACCACCACAATGCGAACAAACATCCTCAGCCAAGTGCTGTGATGCATTTTCCAATCACTCCTAATGTTTAGGCTAGTCTCAAGGATGCAGTTCAGACTTTTATTCTTTTATTTTGAGGCCAGAAATGTGCGAAGTTTGGTGGGGGAATGGTAAATTTTAAACATGATAGAATTAAGCCAAGATTTCACCTTTAATTAACATTTCTAAAGACTTCCGCATAAACATTAGGCAACATACTCAGATTAACTTGACCCAGTATTAGGCTTAAACCAGCCCTGAATGTTTAGGCCTATGCGCTTTGTTTGTGTACCAAAACATTCGCACATTACGATTGAGTTCGACCCAAAAATGTAGGTCATATACATACTGTACATGGAACAATGCAAAACGAGATTGTAGTTTAGACCTGTTTCACTTTTTACTGTGCTGTAATTTCTTTTCGTAATTTTTTCGTAGGTTAGCTGTAGGCTGTAGAATGCTTGTGTCTTTTTACGAAAGTAGTTCTTATAATTATCGCCTAATCATTTTTGCATGTGATGCTACCTAACACGGGAAATTGGCAATGTTTCTCTTCAATGTTTTATGCAAAAAATTGACGCAAACATCCAAAACAACGATTTAAAAAGATCTCGTGCATCTGGTTCTGGGTGAAATGTGTGCCATCGTTCATCCACTTTGTCTCAACTTTATTAACACTTTCTCATATAGCCACTTTAATTTAGATTTATGCAAACTTTAGCTGTTAGAGCTGACTTTACTTGATCTCTAAAATTGACCACACTATTTATATAGCAAGTGAAGGAGTTTTCGCGTTGATCAACTTCGACTACCTATCGACATGCGTTTGGTGTAATGAATGTCAGTATTTCTAAAATGTTTCTATAACATTATGATGTTTGTGCATTTGGCAAGTTGTCATAAAAGACCAGGGATTGTTTAAGCTGTGTATGGAAATGTGGAAACAATTGTAACATCAGTCATTGAAATATTTCTGGAATTGTTTTCTATATTTTATTAGAATGTGTGTATTTCACGCTGAAATATAAATAAAGCTGAACAATTACGGCTGTCGACGAATTTCAATCAGCTCATTATGGAATGTCAAATCTACAGTAAACACATGCAGTGATCATCGGTTCATTCATTCGAAATAAACAGGCGTGGGTCTATATGTGAGAAATCAATCAGTAATATAACATCAGCCAATGTATTAAACACTGTTTAGTTCTATCAGTGATGGTATACTTTGCAGCGCAAATAGAGAATTCTTGATAATTCTGTTCCTAGAATATCCGCTGTGCTATTTAAACTGAACTGTTCTGGACCTGCAAAACAGACAGCTCGTCTCGTGCTAGTCCATACTCACCATTAGTACTGTACAAGGTAATGTGTACAGGTGACATGTGCTCGCAGGAAGCGCCAACCTTATCAAAAGCAGAGCACCATAACATTGTCAGTAGTTTTGTTGTTTGTATATTACTGTGCATTGTTTGGTAGATAGTAAGATAGTAATAGTTAAAAAAGCGGAGCTGCTAAACATAGGAAACACATGTGCCAGTACTTCTTTCACAAATAGATTATCTAAATAACTATAAATGTATACTATATATCTAAATAACTATAAATGTAACTATAATGGTATGTTTATTATAGATAAATTATCTATAATAAACATACCATTGAACATCAAATTTCAACACAAGAAACAACTACATTACAGTTGGTGTAAATCTAAACACACACACACACACACACACACACACACACACACACATATATATATATATATATATATATATATATATGTAGAGAGAGAGAGAGAGAGAGAGAGAGCATATTATTTACAAATAGGCTTTTGCAACGCTGTCTTAAACGTCAGTAAAGCACAAGAATCAACAATCAAGGTACTCTACATTTGGACACGCGCTGATTGCCTCGCAATATTCAATAGAAATAGTACCTAAATATATTAACCAAAAAAAAACAAAAAAACAAAGATTGAGCCGTATTTAAATAAACCAACAAACTAAAACAATTTCATGAAATTGTACACATTTCAAACACATCTATAAGAAAAGCTCAGGCCTACCTGCAGAGCTCCGGCTCAGGAGCGAGATGGGCGAGTCGAGCAGTCTTCTGGCAAATGTGTTTGTGGTCACTACTGACATTCCGGAAGTTTTCTGAGGAAGTGGCAGTTGTATTAGAGTATTGTCTACCCGCCAGACCTTTGTACTTTTATGTTGCCAGTGGAGGAGAACTCCTAAAATGGCTGTTATCGCCTGTAAACTTTATTGCTGGCCAATAAACCCATTAGCGTCTTTAAAATTCTCCCAAACAGCCTATTGGCCTGATTCAGACAGCGCTCTTCCCATGCCATCTAAAGTGTAGCCAGAGCAAGACTGCAATTGTAAAACAACTTGGGGAACGTTCTTGGGCAAAGACTCATGAAATAAAATGAGAGATCGGGCTAATGATTTGGGGAAGAGGCTGTGGATTGTGTTGTTGTGTTCTATTGGCTAATAGCGATTTTTTCAGGACAAAAATTGTGTTGTTAGTAATTTTTAATCTTGCTAGGGCTGTTTTTTTTTCACAAAGAAAGATTTCTCGGACAAATTGACTTGAGCAGCTGTCAGCAGACAGCAGGTGAAAAGGTAAGGGGCTAAGCTATTGGACAGCCACGACCTATACATAGATTTACTTTGGAAAAAGATTAAATTTATATAGAGTAATACTTAGAACAGGAAAAGCAGATGGATATTTTCAATTTCTTAGAACAATAGATAAAACAACCATAAAGAATAGATGGATTGTACCATCATTATGGATTTTTTTCCACATAGTGGCGATAGAGTAACAAACGAATTCATTTGAGATTTGAAATATGAGAAAATATTAATACAATCACATGGTTTAAAAAATGTTGATTCATGTATCAGATCTCGAACTTGTTTGTCCGTCGTTTATTTATTATTACAAACTTAAATGTGTGCTTTTCTGCTAATTTTAGATCACCATAGCTATTTTAAGGTTAACATAATGGAAAATATAAAACGTAAAGTAGAGGAAAACATGAAATATAAAATTTGCCATAACTTTTGTACATTTTATGTTTTACTTATTTTTCTCCCAATATGTTAAACTCAACAGATAAAAAACAATCGTGCATTAAAATGTGAGAATTGTGTTAACTTATTTTCACAATAACATGTAATTTTACCACAGACGCCCAAACGCATAGGAACATTGGCTATATATATATATATATATATATATATATATATATATATATATATATATATATATATAAGCAGACACAAATAAAGATTAACGCTCACTTAAATATAGTACAGATTAATTTTCATTTTATATAGAGGTAACTGTCCGATGTTCTCCACATAAGCCTACAATTTTAAAACTACCGTCATTTTATTGAGTCGTCAGCATCATTTATGGAATTAAAACTGTAATTCTTGGGAATTGTTTATTAACTGACCTTTTTTTAATGTTTTCATTTGATTTCGTTGCATTAGTGACAGATTTAAAGCATGGTGGGTTCAAGTATCATTCATAATTCTACAGGTCTCAAAGTTTAGTCCGTTCCATAAAACTCAGTTCGCCGGGGATACCATTCCAACCAAAGTGCTTTTGTTTGAATAAATACTGTAATTGTTGGTGTCAGTGATTAACATCTTCTGTGAGCACATAACCAACTTAAACCTAAGTTCTCAGTTTCACGCTAACCTCAATAAGAACGTCAATATAGTACGTTGGTGGTACAGATGGCGCACCGAACGTCATTTGGGTGAAGCAGTCGCAAAGGCAAAAGTAGACAGGAACAATGTTCATGTAGATTTCTGAACAAAACAAAGCTTCTGAGAGGTGACTGGAATGTGAAGATGTGAATCTTGAGACGGCTTCCTACACTGAAATCTACGGGTCGAGCGGCGTTGGAAGGGGGCGCAACACATTCTTGGTTGTTTGGTGGGAAATTTACAGCTAAGCAATAAAAGTTTACGACTAGGCCGTGGCTGGGATTGGCTGCGGCGAGTCACATGGCATGCTCCATGAACATGAACTTTATACTGTTGTCTTTGCTCCGGTTATATTCGCTCCCCATCTCTCCAGACGCGCGGAAAATGGAGTATAGCGTCCCGCAGCCTTGCACTGAAATATAATAGTGAGTAAAAAAGAGCAGGGAAGTCTCGGTCTCGGTTCTAGCGCGTATGTGTGCTCCTCTCTTCCTCCCTGCTCCCTCACGTCTCGCCTCCCGTCACCTTTGTCGCGCACGGAGGGCTAGGCTAAACTCGATGCCGAGCATGGGACGCGACGCAACTAGTCTCGAATATTGGGTTCCTGGACGCAACAGGATTCAGACAGGATATGGAATTTCTCATGAAGTGACTGACTTCACCTCATGCAGCTTAGTGCCACCCCGCCCTCCTTTCATCTGGGCGCGACACTTACTGTGTAGCACAGGAGCGGCTTGAGAAAGCAGGTAAGCTCGCGGTTCTATGTGTTTCTAATTGGTTCACATGGACACTCTAAAAAGATGGTTCTTCGAGGGTTCTTGGGTAAATGCAATGGTTTTATTTAGAACCATGAGTTTTATATCAAACTAATCTATGCTTGAATTAGTATTTGAAATGGTTCTGTAAATTAATGGTTTTATACAGCACCAATAAGGTAATATTGTGACAAGCTTGATATCGTAACAGTAGCAGAACCCTTTTTAGGCGCGATTTAGAACCATTTTCAAAAAGCTTCTATGTAGTACCATATACAACATGTTCACCATCAATTGCAACATGCAAAGAACCATTTAAGCATGAAATGGTTCTACATAAAACTCATGGTTCTAAATAGGCACATTCCCTTTATTAAAACTCAAACCCTTGAAGAACCATTTTTAAGAGTTTACGTGGTTTAAACGGACATCTATCTAAGCAGTAAAAATGAATATACCCTACCGCGAGCATATGGTTGTATGTTATCTTGAATTTAATTAAGATGTTGGGGAAACATTGTAAACACTTATTAGCCTAGGTTGTATGTTTTTATATAGACTCACGAGCTGTGCGTGTGATTCTTATACAGCTGAAAGCAGAATAAAAGCGAGATATGGGTCGTTTATGGATGTTTTCTCATTATTGTGATTGATAAGCGAGACATATTAATGAGACGTTCAAACTTCAGCTTGTTTACTCACTTGGAGTGTCCAGGACACTCGAGGACAGTGGGCTTTATTTAGACCGTGAATTTGTATGGAATTGGGCAGGCAGACAGATTTCAGACGTGAACTGACAAAGGAGGTGACCTCTCTGACATCAGTGCCACAAAATATCTTATAATAGATTCCAGATAAAGTTTGTTTCCCAGCAGTCTGATATTCGACTACAAGACCGACTCTTAGTCTACACTCTTAAAAAAGATGGTTCTTTAGTAAAGACAGTGGTGCTATATGGATACTCAAAGAACCATTTGCACACTTAAATGGTTCTTTGCATGGTGAAGTGGTTTTTCAGAATGATGGAGAATATGTTGTATACGGTTCGAACTTTTGTTACGATGCCAAGAACCCCTTTTAGTGCTGTATACAACCATATACAACACTTTCTCCATCAATCTGAAGAACCATTTCACCATACAAAGAACCATTTAGGCCATAAAATGGTTCTTTGAGTGCTCATGATTCTATATAGAAAGACTATATATAATATAGAAACACTTTACCAAAGAACGCTCGAAGAACCATCTTTTTTTTTAAGTGCACTGAAGAAACAAAATAGTCAAAAATGTGGAAAAGAGTCAGATTTGATTAAAA